TAGGGCGCTAGTCCAGCGTAAAACAAAACGCAGTCTCGATCGGGAACGCTAGTTTTGTTGGGACGGCGGTTGTCGGCGGCGAGGAGGAACACCGCCTCGAATAAGAAGGGAGGAAATCTCGAGCGAGGGCCGTGGTTTTGTCGGGACGGGGGCTGTCGGCGGCGAGGAACAGCACCGTCCTGAAGAACAAAGGAGGAAGCCTCGAGCAGGAGCGGTGTTCTTGCTGGGAACGGCGCCAATTCAAAAGAGAGTATCCAGCGTAAAACGGGAGGAAGTCTCGCGCTGGAGCGCTGGTTTTGTCGGGACGGCGGCTTCCGGCGGCGAGGAGGAACACCGCCTCGAGTAAAAAAGAGAGGAAGTCTCGAGCGGGAGCGTTGTTGATGCTGGGGGCGGCGCCGATGAGAGAAAAACTAGCGCGCCAGTCAAAGGTAAAACGGGAAGAAGTTTCGAGCGGTAGCGCTAGTTTTGTTGGGATGGCGGCTTTCGGCGGCGAGCAAGAGCATTTGCCCTGAGTAAAAAGGAAGAAGTCTCGAGTGGGATCATTGTTGTTGTTGGGGGGGCGTTTTGGCGCCCCCCTAAACCGCTCGAGCGTGAGCCTCACCTTCAATGAAAATGTAGCCAGCGCCAGGCGAGAGCGTCAAAGCGCTTGGGGGGTCCAACCATAACAACTGTTTCGAAATTAACATTCAACAGCAGCAACAACAACAAGAATAACGAGAACAAGAACAAGAACAAGAACAACAGCAATACTAAAAACGAGCGGGTCCCCCCGAGGCCTGAGACTACGAGGCCAAAGGTGGTCCGCAAGTGTCCCTTGGGCGCCTTGACGGGCCGCTTGGAAGTTTCGTTGGCACTGGCTGGCGGTCTGAGGGTTCTCTTGGGAGCTCTTCCCAACCATTACGTGGTAGTGGCTCCTCGTTTTCGAATGGCAGCGCCCCGCGTCATCCCTCCTCCTCCCCCCCTCTTCCCCTCCCATCCCTGCGTCTGCCCTCCGCAGGTCCATGCCGGCACACTCTTCAGACGCTGCGTGGCTGCTCCGTGGCCTGAGGTCCAGAGCAGAGTCTCCCGTGAGGGAACTTCGCCCGGCCATCGGTGGCGTCCCACACAGCTCCACGGTGCCCCCAGCGACGCCCCCGCGAGCCAAGGGACACCACGAGAGCCCCGAGCCGCCCCACGAGAGCGTCGAGGGGCTTCAGAGATCATCCAAAGCGCCCCCGAGGGGCCCCGACACGGCCCGGGAGAGGAATTTGGAATTTGCAAGGGCTGTCAAATCCCGAAGGATGGCTCCAAGATGTCGTTGACCTTCATCGCCATCATCCGTACCACTTATCTTTGCTGCTTCTGAGCCAGCCTTTCTCCTTCGTTTCCCTTCTCCCCCTCCTTCCCCTTCTCTCGCCCTCCTCATTCCCATCATGATCATCATTTTCGCCCGCCTCAGCCTCGTCCTCCTCCTCCTCCTCCTTTACATCCTCCTCATCCCCCTCCTCGTCATAACCATCAACAAAATAAACGTCATTGACATCGTAACCATTATCAACAACAACAGCAGCAACAGCAACTACGATTACTACTACTACATCAGCAGCAGCAGCAGCTTCATCGATATCATCATCATCATCATCATCATCATCATCAGCAGCAGCATCATCATCATCATCATCGTCATCGTCATCGTCATCGTCATCATCATCAGCATCAGCATCATCATCATCATTACCATCAGCATGATGAACATCAACATCAACATCATCAGCAGTAGCATCGTCGTCGTTGACATCATCATCACCACCATCATCATCAGCATCATAATGGCAATCTGCATCACTATCGTTATCAGCATCGTCGTCGTTATCACCATCATCAACATCATCAGCATCACCATCATCATCAACAACAACAGCAACAGCATTATCCTCAGCATCATCATTCACACCATCAGCAACAGCATCATCGTCGTCGCCATCATCATCAGCAGCAGCATCAGAATCATCATCAGCAACATCATCATCGCCGTCGTTCTCATCCTCATCAGCAGCAGCAGCATCAATAACATCAACAACAACAACAACGTCATCACCATTATCAACATCGTCATACTAATCATTGGCATCATCAGCAGCAGCATCATCGCCGTCGCCATCATCATCATGATCAGCATAATCATCGCTACCATCATCATGATCAGAATCAGCAGCATTGTCGTCGTCGTCATCAGCAGCATCATCTTCAGCATCGTCATCGCCAACCGCAGCAACAAAGAACAACGGCAACAACAAGATCATCGTCATCGTCTTCTTCGTCATCAGATTGTCCCTCGGCTTTGGAGACGTCCAGGAGGCTCTGGAGGACGACGATGACGAGGAAGATGAGAAGGAGAAGAGGGGCGGACAAATGGGAGGGGATGAGGAGGATAAGAAGAAGGAAGGCAGGGCCAGAGCATAGCACCAGTCAGGGAACGAAGGAGGGATCGGCAGACAGGGGCAGCTGAGTTTCTCAGGAAGCCCTGGAAAAGAGACCCTGTCTTCGCACGCCTTCCCTCCTTCGCATTCCACTTGCAGTCTTCCCCTTGTTGGCAGCAGATATCCTGGCCACCAGCTCCATAGGCCTGCCTCGGGCTTCCTCTACCGGTCCACACCAGTCAGCTACAACGCTGGGATCAGCGCGTGCGGGACCTGCGGGCAGTGGCAACAGGGACTGGCGCTTCTCAGTCGGATGTTGGAGGCGAAGCTGTGGCCCGGCGTTGTCAGCTACAGCACCGGGATCGGCGCATGCGCGAGAGGCAAGCAGTGGCAGTGGGCCCTGTCGTTGCTCCGCGACGTGTGGGAGGCAAAGCTGCAGCCCAGCGCCACCAGCTACGGTGCCGGGATCAGCGCGTGCGCGAGCAGCGGACGGTGGCAGCTGGCCTTATCGCTTCTCGGCAGCATGGATCAACAGAGGGTAGAGCAAGACACCAGCAGCTACGTCGCAGGGATCAGCGCATGCAATGCAGGCAGGCAGTGGCAGCTTGCGCTGGCTCTTCTTAGTTGGATGGTGGAGGTGAAGTTGTGGCCCGATGTCGCCAGCTACAGTGCTGGGATCAGCGCGTGTACGAGTAGCGGGCAGTGGCAGTGGGCCTTGTCGTTGCTCAGGGAGATCCGGGAGGTGAAGCTGCATCCCGACGTCATCAGCTGCAACGCTGGGATCAGCGCATGCGAAAAAGGCGGTCAATGGCAGCATGCTTTGCGGCTGTTGGTTGTGATGTGCCAGGAGAAGTTGAAGCCTGATGTCATCAGTTACGGTTCTGCCATTAGCGCGTGCGACAGTCGAAGGCAGTGGCGGCAGGCTCTGTCGTTGCTCCAGGATATGCGGGAGCAGATGGAACCCGACATCGTCAGCTACCGCGCTGCGATCAGCGCGTGCGAGGGGGCTGGGCAGTGGCAGCAGGCGTTGTCGCTGCTCTGTGCAGTTCTGTTGGAGTCGCCCCTCTGCTGCGCAGAAGTGTTTCAGACGACTCCCCCCCTTTCCCAAGAAAGCATCATGCGCGTCACATCCACAAGCATCACGTTCGTGGATGGCGCTGGGCCGCGAGCTGATTCCCTGCGACTGCTGTGACAGAAGTGACCTCGCCGGCATCCAGCTCCAGCTCCAAGTCTGCACACCCTGACTGCATCCCTCCACCGTGCTGCCACTGCTCCTCTCCTCGGCGTGCGGCACTTGGGTTGGACCTGGCGCGCGGGGTCTCTGCGTGTCGCTGGTTCTTGGCCGCGAAGCGTGGCCTTGTGGAGCCGCCCCCGCTGGGGCCCGCTCTTGGTGAGGAGGAGGAGGAGGAGGAGGAGGAGGAGGAGGAGGAGGAGGAGGGAGGAGGTAGGAGGAGGAGGAGGAGGAGGAGGAGGAGGAGGAGGAGGAGGAGGAGGAGGAGGGGGTCGACCTCGAGTGGGGGCCGGCACTTCTCTGGTTCGGCCTGCGGGGCCCCTGCAGAGATTACCCAGGCCAGCACTTGCCGGGGCATGCTCACGACGAGCGAGCGGGGCGCCGAGGAGAGGGCCACGCCTTGGTGACCAAGGGCCCTCTCCACTGGCGGCGAGCGAGGGGGGGAAATGAGGAGGAGAAGGCCCTCTCAGAAGGCGGCCGGACCTCTCCGAAGCCCTCGCGCATGCTGAGAAGTTTGTTGCGTCGTCGGGGAAGGCTTAGAAAACTTATCAGAACGCCGTGGGACTTCTGAGCCTTCTGGGAAGGCCTTCGCCTTCTCGCCTCCCCCCTCGCTCGCCGCCGACTCCACCCGTGCAACTGCTAGAGATGTCAGGCTTTCCAGGCCACCAGTTGCGGCGGGTGTGAGGCGAAGCGCCCGGCCCGCCGTGCCGTCACGCCTGGTGGTGTCGAGAAGAGGAGCTGGCCGTAATGAAGAGGAGGCAGGGGAGGAAGCGCAGGAAGAGGGCGAGGAGGAGTGGGAGAGGGCAGAGCACGCGGGGAATGGAGGCAGAGGTGGAAGGAAGGAAGGAGGGAGGAGGACGCAGGAGTAGAGGAGGAGTAGGAGCGTGACAGGGAGGGTGACGACGGCGAACTAGTGGAGAAGGGGAAGGGGGAGGATGGGGAGAGCGAGAACGATCAGGAGAAGGAGAAGGAGAAGTAGAAGGATTTAGGGGGAGGAGAAGGAGACGGAGAATGAGGAGAAGGAGGGGGGAGGAGGATGAGGAGGCGGGGCAGGGGGAGGGGGAGGAGCAGGAGGAGGAGGAGGAGGAGGAGGAGGAGGGAAAGAAGCGGCAGGCGGACCCCCCATCGCCCGAGAAGGACCAAGCCGACTCGATCGATCCGCCTCCTTCCACGTCTCGTCATCGTCCTCGCCTCCCTCCTTGTCCTCACATCAGCAGCACCCCCATCGTCAGCAACAACATCACCGTGATCGTCTTTCTCTCCCTTTCCCTCCCGCCGACCCACCCCACACACCCTTCCTCCTCATCCTCACCTCCCCCGTCATCCCTTCCCCTCCCCCCTCCCACACGCCCCATCCCCTTCCCCCGGAGGAGAACCAGGCGGAAGATCGGCAGGCAAAGGGAGCTGGTGAAGCACATCGCCGCGATCGCAGGGGCGGACGCATCGATGGCCGCGTGGAGCTACACGGGCTCGACTTTTGTTTTATCCTGATCGATGGCCTGCCCATCCCTCCGTATTACTCGGTATTTCCCGCCTCGTTCTACAATCCCATCCATATATCCCCAAGCTCTTCTTTCTGCCACTTCGCTATCTTCCCACTATATCATGATTAATTCCCTCGCTATCCTCTTCATCCATCTCCGCATCATCTCCTGTTATCCATGCTGTGGTTGTCCTGCTTCAGCACAACCACAGCACATAGTTTACATCCACATGTCCATCGCCACCATCGCATTATGATCATATCTGCTGTCCCCTGGTTGTTATACCGAGCTCGTGGTTGCCATGCTCGCCGTCGTGATCCTCGCATTCTCAGCTGGACCATCCTCATCGTCCTCGTCCTGTGATGCCCCCCAAGCATGACATGCAGAGCATCGACAAGGCCGCAATCGTCCCACATACCATCGTCGGCGCCGCAGTTTGATGTGAAGAGCATCGTTGTGTCCGCTATCACCCGACTACGACTGCGATTAAGTCTGGATGGTAGAACTAGCATTGGCACTGACACTCCGACCACCACAACTACCAGCGCCAGTTATACTGGCAGTCCTGTTAGCTGCGCGATTCAAACGATCGGAATCACCACTGGTAATACTGGCCACCCTACCCCATCCCAGACAGTGAGTTTGTGCGTAGCACCGCACTCCCAGGGTCAGGGCCATATCACCACCACATTCGTCGTCCTCATTATCACCATCATTATCATGGGACTCATCCTCACCAGCCTCGTTACCATCATCGTCATCACAGTCATTTTTTTATGCGTACTCATCATCATTATTCTGCTCTCTCCACGTGCCCCTACTCGTCCTCAGCCTGCTCTGCCCAGCATCATCAAACTCCCCGCTCACTTTCTGCTCCGAATACTCGTGATCGTTCCCCTTCTCTTTATCCTCCGCCTCCTCCTCCTCCTCTTCCTCCTGGAACCTAGAGACTGGAACCTGGTGGCGTGAGAAGTCGTTGATTGACGCCCCCCTCCTCCTCCTCTTCCTGCTCCTCCTCCTCCTCATCCTCATCCTCCATTCCTTGTCCTTGTGAATAACTCCTCCATGTCGCACCCCGAGGCCGGTCGGAAGGGCGGGCCGGGCGTGTTTCTATAGATTTCCTTACCAATTATAGGCCTCAAGCCTAAAAATTGACAACAGCTTCACGGATGGAGGGCGGGTCGCATCCAAAATGCAGTTCTCGCCGCAGCGCCGCGCGCATTCGCTTCGAACGCTTGTAAAAGCTTCACGGATGGAGGGCGGGTCGCATCCGAAATGCGGTTCTCGCCTTAGTGCCGCGCGCATTCGTTTTAAACAGTCGCAAGGGTTTCATTGATTGGGGGCTGGTGATTTTCATAATGTGGTTCTCGATTCAGCGCCGTACACATACGTTGCGAAACTTATTATCAAGACTCTCATGGATTTAGGGCGGCTCCTTTTCAGAATGTGACTCTCGCTTTAGCGCCGTGCGCATTCGTGTAGAATCTGCAAGGGCTTCACGGATTGAGAGCGGCTCCTTTTCAAAATGCGGTTTTCGCTTGAGCGCCGCGCATACTCATGTGAAAATGTTCACGACTTTCATTGTTTCCCGCGGCTAACGTAACAGAGCTGGTATTTTGGAACGGTCCAGGATTGTCAGGGCACATCAGTTACATCAGGGAGGAATGGCGTTATGGCGCGATTCTGGATCGTGAAGACGCAAGAGTCAGGTTGACTCGTGGCGTTGAAGTCCTGAGAACGGTGTTTTGGCACGCTTCCATATTTACACACGGTTGTCCCCCAACGGGACAATTCCTTCAGTGGGAGTGAGTTTTTGCAGGGCCTATTGTGAGGGACTTGGAGGGAGGATGTATTCCAGCATCGTTGGGGAGTCCTGGGTTTACACTGGTCTTCCTCCTCCTCCTCCTCCCCCTCCTCCTCCTCCTCCTCCTCCTCCTCCTCCTCCTCCTCCTCCTCCTCCTCCTCCTCCTCCTCCTCCTCCTCCTCGTCATGACACCCCTGCATCTGCACCCCCGCATCTCCATTGTCCCGTCCCTCTCCCTCCTGTCCTGCTTCTTCTTGGCTTGTTTCTCCTACTTCTCCTTCCTCGTCATCCTCGCGCCACGCAGCCTCCTGAGGAGCTACACGGGCTCACTGCTGCACAACCACTCGTTCTTTGTCCGCGGCGATCCTGGGGCCCCAGGAGTATGCAGAGCGAGGGTTCCCCCTCCCCCCCAGGTGGCAGTCGGAGGAGGGAGGGCCGGAGGGACGGAGGCAGAGGGCGGGCGGGAGGGAGAGAGGGTGCAGCTGTGCCGCTGCAGAAGACTCCCCAGGCAGGAAGAACACTCCTGCGACGAGCTAGGAGAAGAGATGAAGCCCCGGCCCCCTCCACCCGAGATGATGAAGATGGCCTCCTGGCTCCCTCGAGTGAGCAGTCAAAGCCCCACTTTTGCCCCCGGGGTCAGGAGAAGAGGGAACTGTTTCATTGCGAACCCTGCGGCACCGAATTCGAGTCAAACGCGGCGCGGCCCGCGCCAACTACGCAGGCCCACGTTCCTTCCTGCTCCACCCAGTGCCAACTCACCATCCTCCGTCACCGCTGCCGTGCACGGTGTCAAGATGACAGGGAGTGCGAGTAAGAAGGTCCGAGGGGAGGGGCAAGGGCTAGGCTTCACGGCAAAACGTCGACATCACCATCAGTTTGAACAATCTGATTTTGTTGCCCCCTTGCCTATCCGTCGTCGCTGTCGCGCACGACTACAAGATGTCAGAAAAGAAAGGGTTCAATCAAAAACGAAAATTTCCCAACAGGTCCTAATATCCCTGCAACCGCGTCACGATATTTTGCACACTGGCCGCGTCGCTCGAGAAAGAAACGTGTGACTGCAGCAGCCGTCCAATCGAAATTGCGACTACATTGCACGGAGCATACACTATGTGAGAGCCGTTGCTGCCCGCCAGAGATCTGGTGCACCAGGCACCACCGCAGGTAGCCAATGCAGATCGCGCAAGCGAGCACCGTGGTGATGCATTGTCGCCCCAGAGAGCTTGCATTAGCGCCGTGTCGCTCGAGGGCTTGGCACTGTCGCCCCCGGGAGTGTTCATGCGTGCTTCGGCCGATGCGCTCACGTCGCTCACTTGCTCCCTCCAAGAACTTCAATTGATCGTGCAATTCGTTTTTCACAATCTCCTACCGCCGCTGCTACTGCAGTGGCTACTGCTGCTCGTTCCAAGGTGCCCAGGCATTCTTCGAAGAGCAACGGCTCCTCCAGGTGATGCCGGACACCAAGCTTGACCTCCGAGGTCTTCTCTTTGAGCTCGGGCATCATCTCGATGAGCGCAGTTCTGGACCTTCTGCTTTGGCTCCTTCAAGGCGGAGCTCGACGAGCCCAGCTTGGTATCGACCTGCTTCGACTCGTAGGTCACCAGCGGCCGCTTCGACACCCGAGCGACGGTCTGGTGAACCAGCGGCTTGTCTAAGCTCTTTCAGGCGAACCTTCGCTCCATTGACCGTGCAGTCGGCGCCCACCTTGGCATAGCTCACATCCACTGCCTCCTGCCAGCTACGCGTAAGAGTGGCCATTCGCAGGAGTGACGTTTGGTGCTGGCCCACCGGGGACCCCCGATCGCTGCACCCGATGCGACAGCAGCAGATTTTGTGCGTGAGATCGGCCCCCCCTCCGCGACCACACGAAGGCCGCGCACCACGGGCCACTCCTGCCCAGGTCTGCTCTTGCGTGCAGCCGACCCCTGGACCGGGCCAGGGGTGCTCGCGCCCAGTGCCCTGAGCCGCTGGTGCCTGCGCTGTTCCACGATGGCCCGCCAGCATGCCGGCCGGCGGCCTGCTTCCACAGCGCGCGGCGGGCGAGGCCCTTGGCCTCGTCGAGGGCCGCTGCGCGCGGCGTGCGAGGAGGCCGTCCCACTAATCGGCGGGCGGCCGAGTGCCTCCATGAGCAGGGGGTCGCGGCGAGGAGGACGAGGATATGGAGAAGGAGGATATGGAGGAGGAGGATATGGAGGAGGAAGAAGAGGAGGAGGAGGAAGAGGAGGAGGAGGGGGAGGAGCAGGAGGAAGAGGAGGAGGAGGAGGAGGAGGAGGGGGAAGAGGAAGGGGAGCAGGAGGAGGAGGAGGAGGAGGAGGAAGAGGAGGAGAGAGGAAGAGGAGGGAGGAGGAGGAGGAACAAAGAGGAGGAGGAGGAGGAGGAGGAAGAGGAGGAGGAGGAGGCTGTGTTAGAATGTAGCGCTGCGACTGGGTAAGAAGGATGTGGGTGTGTATAGGTCAGACGGAAGTCGTTACCGACGCCGTTTGGCTTAAATGCACACTCCGTCGATTGCCTTGCAACAAACGTCATCAATCCATTATCATGCAAATCCTCTTCGGGAGTTTGCATGGTAGCGGAGCGAGGTCGATAGCGGTAGCAGCGGAAGCTCCCGCACATCCAGGAGACCTGCGCCCTGGGATCGTGATCTGTGATTCAGCTTGAACCCAGCGATGTTCGATGAGTTTCGAGAAGCAGTTTATCATGGAGGCCGCTAAACTTGTATGAATGTAGCCCCAAGAGTGACTCGTGCGGGAGTGAGAGAGTTCATAGACAAAGAAGCGGCTGCAGGAGTAAGAACTGTCACATATGAGGAGAGCGATGGACTATTACTCATGACTCAGATAGTGAATTTCCTGTTCCTGCGCATCGTCAATCGCACACACATGTACACAGCGGGAGAGGCCAAGAAACCGCAGCTGACATTCGAAAGCTTAGAGGAAAAATGGACGCACAAAAGAACACGATGGGCCAGGTCATCAAGATAGCGGAATCAGTTACTGATAGTTTTTAATGTAAGAAAAAGACAGAAGGACAGAAGCCGGCTAGCGAATATAAGGCCACGCAGCGGTTTAAGACGTTCGTGGGAGACAAAAACAAGTCTCGCGAGTGAAACGAAAGTTGCTAGACGCATTGGCAAAGGTCAATCCTCACTATCGCAAAGCGATTAAGGACAGAGGAGGCAAATTTGAAACGATGGACGAAACGCT